TGCTGAACCAGATGCCATGACAAAATACACAAATAAGGAAAAAGTAATTAGCATTGTAGCTTTTGCTGTAGGATTTGTGTCTTTGGTTTTGACATTTGGCTTCTGCTGGGCTCTTAAGAGGCATGTGCCTGTTCTTATTTCATGCGAAGATCGTAAAAATAAGAATCTCACTAGCATCTATTGTCTTCCAAAGGCAGGTATCACATATCAGCAGCTTCTTAAAGCTACTGATTGTTTTTCAGAGACTTCTGTAATAGGAAGCGGTGGCTGTGGTACAGTACACAGGGCTGTCATGCCTGATGGGAGTCTAATTGCAGTGAAGAAACTGAAGCCTTATGGGGAAGGTTCTACCATTGACAGCAGCTTTCGTGCAGAGATATCTACTCTTGGAAACATTAGACATAGAAATATTGTAAAGCTCTATGGTTTCTGTTATCATCAAGACTCTAACCTCATCTTGTACGAGTACATGGCAAATGGAAGTCTCGGCGAGCTGCTCCATGGGAACCGGGAGGCATGCCTGCTAGATTGGAATACTCGCTACAACATTGCTTTTGGTGCTGCTGAAGGTTTGCGCTATCTTCATTCTGACTGTAAGCCCCAAATAATACATCGAGACATAAAATCAAACAACATTCTACTGGATGAAATGTTCGAAGCTCGTGTAGGGGACTTTGGGCTTGCTAAAGTAGTTGACTTCTCAAACTCAAAAACTATGTCAGCAGTTGCAGGTTCATATGGCTACATAGCACCAGGTAAGAATATAGCTGCGGCATTATATGGTAAGCTTATGAATTAATGGTCATAGTTGACATTTGGATTGCATTGTACCACACAGGTCATTGTTATTGGATCTCTAACTTCATTGTTTCTTTTATGGTCTTTTAGAGTATGCATTTACGATGAAGGTTACAGAAAAATGTGACATATATAGTTTTGGTGTTGTTTTGTTGGAACTGATCACTGGGAGAACTCCAGTTCAGCCTCTAGAGCTTGGTGGGGATCTAGTTAATTGGGTGAGAAGGTCGCTGCAAAATATGGTGCCAACATCCTGCATCTTTGATGACCGGTTAGATTTGAGCTCGAGGAGCACCATTGAAGAAATGTCACTGATATTGAAAATTGCTCTATTCTGCACCAGTGATTCCCCATTTGACAGGCCATTCATGAAAGAAGTTATAGCAATGATGACTGATGCTAGAGTTTCAAGTTGCTTTCCCTCAACTCCAACATGTGAAACTTCGTTCGATGAAAATGCCTCTTCTGAAGGTAAGAAACAAATAATTCTAGTAGGATTTACATATATATGTACCAGTTAATTCTTAGGTTTTTGCATATCTAACACTGAAACTTCAATTTTTACATACATGCAACCTTACCTATGCATGAAAAGGTTCAATTCAGTTTTTAAAAGTTAGCATGGTGTTATTTTTAATGTAATATGAATGATTTGGGTAGTATAAATGTAAAAAGTGAAGTTTAGGTGTGAGATATGTAAATACAGAAGAATTGGGCAAAAAATATGTATATTTAGAAAAGTAACAATATGAAAATGCCTTTTTTTCTTCATTTTAATCTTTCAGCATTAATTTTACTCATATTTTTAGGTGCATCCCTTACCAGTTGTGTATATGCCCCTAACAGCGTTGGTAGAAGCATATAATGTCCAATCAGGTATGAATCAATTATGCTTAATTTGCTCTTCTGGTTCCATTATCGACCTATTATATGACCATGTTTTGGCTTGGCTAATTATTTGCAGTCGAAATGGAATTCTATAGCTGTATGTGCCATAGCTAACAAGACAGCTCAAGCTTAATTTTTGCCACTTCATGTGGGAGGCCTCGTCAAGTATATTTTTCTGTAAGAAATAAAAGTTTGATTTTAGTTCTTTATTACGAGTGCCTTTCTTAGCCGTGGAGCCGTTATGTAATATCATTACTTAGTATGGACATCTTGTTGAGATTTGAGGATTGTTAGGGAAAAAATCTGTGAAAATGTAATGATTTTCGGCAAACGCATAAGTTTCTGTACGAAGAAATCCATGCTTTGCTTGATTAGATATTCCTCAAACAAACTTGAGCATTGGCACTCAAACAAACTTGTTGGCTCGTATTTAGGATTTTGTTTATTGTACCTTTGCTTGGGTTTTGTGATGTCCCTTTTCTTTAATGCAGTGGCTCATCCATCTTCCATTGTGCATGCTCCATCTTCTTCTTCCTTGGTCACAATATTTTTTCCCCCTTGGCTTTGTAGTCCATCATGCTCTTCTCCATGATATCACCTCCTCCCCATAATATTAATGCCCTCTTCCATCATCTAAATCATCAAAGTTATGTAAGGCCTCTTTCTCAAGTTTTGCACGTTTCCAAGCTCTTTCCTAACTCTATATTGAAGAAAATATCTCTTGCATGGAACGCCTTGTCTTTGTCCTTCCCACTTTCCATTTCTGATTACCCGCCCCTCGCCCTTCCCTTTGTCTTTTTAAACTTAGTCGTGCTCTTTATGCCACGGCGTAGACATCACGTATAGCATTCTTGGTGGACTAAACATCTATCCTAAAATTTTTTTGGAGCTCTTACCTTGGTAGACCTTGACATGTTAATGCCATAGTACTTTAAGACATCGTGAATCATAGTCTAGCTTGAATGTGAGTGATGGAGGTGGGGTGGCCTTTTGATGAGATAAACTACTAAATACTATTAAAGTTTGGTTTTAGGTCTAAAGATATGTTGTGGAAATTTTGGTGGAATGTTAAAAGATTTAGGAGGGAATGGTAGCTAAAATATCAAGATTAGTTTGGATTAGACTAGTTTGGGTGGATTTGAAATATCTCTTTAGAAAAGTGACTTAATAATGAGTAAATGTTTAGAATGATTTTTGGTGGTTGGCTTAGGATTTGTACTTATGATTTGAAGTAGATGGGTGGTTTGAATGAGTTTACAATGGTGTTTAGGGTTAGGGAACAAGACTAGGTCTTAATATGCTATTGCTTGGCCAAGAGCTATGAAGAGGGGTTTGGAATGATTATGTGGCTTTGGTTGTTGGTTTGTTGATATTGTAAGAAGCTTAGGATGTGGATGAAGAGTGGTGAAGAGTTTAAGAGCAAGTGTTTTGGAGGATGTGTTTTGGAGGATAATGAATAACGGAGGATAATGAATAACTTAAAAGAAAAGCAAAGATAAATATCTAATCTCACCATAGAAAAAGTAACTCTTGAAGCCACCAAGCATCAAGCAATAAGAGAGGAAATTCTCACTCACATATTTCATTCAACAACTAATCCAAAGCATTACATATCAGTCATATTTATAGGGATTACAATGATAAAAAGATGAAGAACTTTTGAAGGGTGTCAGGTGGCCATTAATGAAGGACGGTGCTAACCAACTTCCTAATTTAATTTTTTTTTATGACTAGCCATAAAATCCTCCAAATTTGAAAATTCAAACATTCTATAAACTGAAATTTAAATATAAATAATAAAATACAAATTCAAATATTTCTTCTTGATATGACTCTTGTGATGGGCCTTGAATGGGCTCTTAATCGAGCACTTTCTTAGGCTCTTAATTGAGCACTTTCTTGGGTTCTTGATTAAGCTCTTTTAAGTGGATATTTGTTTTCATTTGCTTGAGTGTTTGAATGTGTTTTAACCTTCACTTGATTCTTATGATTTCTTCTTCATTTTTGATCACATCTCATTGCACAACTTAATTCTCCTCCATACAAAATATTATCATCATTTATAACAATAACCTTATATTGTTCTGCATGAATTTTCCCTTTCTTCAAGAATTCAACTTCGTAGAATTATATAGATGAAATAAAATAAAAATATTCATGTAATATAAGAATTAAAGAAAGTAAATACAAAATTTAAAAACAAACAAATATGTAAACTAATTTAGATAACTACTCATCTTTTCAAATTAAAGTAAAAATTCTAATATAAGTAATCATTTAATGTAATAAACTAGATTACAAAACTAAAAATTAGTATAATTTGAATGATTAACTTGAAAAGAAAATTTTAACTTACTTTTGATTAATGAGAAGTTATGTAGTTGATATTTGGTAAAAGAAAAAAAGTAAATTTATAAGATGCAAATTTGAAAATTTTATCAAAATTCTTCACTAAGAAAATTAATCACTTAACTCATCTTCACATTTATGCAAATGAATCATCACTATAATTTAATGCCTTATTGATTAACGATGGTGACATTTACTATAATCATAACTTTATTGGTTTAGCCATTAAGCACACCATAAGGGGAAGACCCCCCTTCATAAATTTCATCATTACATGATGTCTTCTAGATTTTCTCTGATACCAAATATGATGGAGGTGGGGTGGCATTTTGATGAGATAAAATACTAAAATTTGCTATTGATGTTTCATTTTAGGTCTAAAGATATGATGTGGAGGTTTTAGTGGAATGTTCAAAGACTTAGAAGGGAATGGGGGATAAAGTATTAAGACTAGTATGGATTAGGGCTAGTTTGTGCTGATTTGAAATCTCTTTGGAAAAGTGGCTTAATAATTGGTAAATTGTTAGAAATGATTATTGGATGTTAACTTAGGACGTGTACTTATGATTTGGAGTAGATGGGTGGGTTTGGATGGGTTTACAAAGGCGTTTAGGGTTAGGTAACAAGACTAGATCTTAATATGCTCTTGCTTAGCTAAGTTCTATGAAGAGGAGTTTGGAATGATTATGAGACTTTGGTTGTTGGTTTGTTGATATTACAATAAGCTTAGGATATGGATGAACGTTAGTGAAGGGTTTAAGAGCAAGTGTTTTGAAGGATAATGAATAACTTAAAATAATATTAAAGATAAATACCTAATATCACCAAAGAAAATGTAACGCTTGAAGCCACCAAGCAATAAGCAATAAGTGAAAATATTCTTACTTAAATATTTCATTCAACAACTGATCCAAAGTATTATATGTCAGTCTTATTTATAAATTTTATAATGTTAAAAAGTCAATAAAAGGATGAGGAACTTTTGAAGGGTGGTAGATGGCTATTAATGAAGGAAGGTACTAATCAACTTCCTAATTTATTATTTGTTTATAGCTTGCCATAAACGCCTCCAAATTTGAAAATTTACACGTTATAGAATCTAAAGTTTAAATATAAATAATAAAATACAAATTCAAATATTTCTTCTTAATATGACTCTTGTGATGGGTCTTGAATAGGCTCTTAATTAGGCACTTTCTTATGTTCTTGCTTAAGCTCTTGTAAATGGATATTTGTCTTCATTTGCTTGAGAGTTTGAATGTGTTTTAGCCTTCACTTGATTATTATGATTTCTTTTTCATTTTTGACCAATCTCATTGCACTATTTAATTATCCTCCATACAGAATATGATCATCATTTATAAAAATAACCTTATATTATTATGCGCCAGTGAGTCTCTGTGTTTTCTATTCTGACCTAATCATCTTGTTCATTTTTTTAGGTGGATGCGAGTCATTGTGTTTTTAATTATCCTCCATACAGAATATGATCATCATTTATAGAAATAACCTTATATTATTATGCGCCAATGAGTTTCTGTGCTTTCTATTCTGACCTAATCATCTTGTTCACTTTTTTAGGTGGATGCGAGTCACTGTGTTTTCCATTCTATTGTGTTCAAGTAAACACAATTTCAATCGTGTTAATCTTTAAGATTCTGTGTTAACTACATCATCCTTAAATTGCTCTAGCTATCTTCTTTAGGCCAGGAGTAAGTTCCTCAGCGACTTCTTTTCTTAGTATTTTAAACACAATTTCAATCGTGTTAATCTTTAAGATTCCGTGTTAACTACATCATCCTTAAATTGCTATAGCTATCCTCTTTAGGCCAGGAGTAAGTTCCTCAACGACTTCTTTTCTTAGTATTCCAAGATTAACTATTTCTAGCAACATTTACCCAAATCCCTAGTGTGAGCCTTTAATGAATCCCATCAATAGGAAACACCAAAGCTCATAAATTTTGAACTTCAAGACTTCAATCACTCAAATTAAATTTTCAATTCACATGTCATGTTTCAAAATTCAAAACTCAAATCCTGAGTATCAAAACTCTCATTCCTGGACTTAGTTGATCGTTTCAGTCAATGCGAAAATGTGTTGTACTTTACATAGTCTGTCACTCATATTGGTGGTCCATTTGTAGACCTTACTTTTTGGTCAACCCTTTTGATTGACTTTATCCAATCGCATTGGGACATAAAACATTCATCTTAGTGCCACTAGATTACTAAATTGAACTTAGATAAGCTATAACTTAAACCTCACTTGACATGACCCTAATTTAATCTAAAGTAAAATCTAACTAAACAGGAATTGAAATTAATCAAACTAAAATGGAATCAAATGTAACCAACATTAGCTAAACCCTAAAATTGAACTAAAAATCAGCTGAAACTAAAATGCATATCAAAATTATAATTTTCTCCACTTATCATATACAAAAATCATACAAATATGTTTGACGATTATATTACACAATTTTGTTGTAAATTTTTTTACTTTGAGTTTTGGTGCATGAAGAGTGCTCGTATTATCCCAAAATTATTTTTTCTCCATTATTCAATGTAGTTATCGGAATTTTATTGTATAAGTTGTATAATGTTCATTATTACATATGAAAAGCATGCAAATTAGTTTGATGATGCTTGATGGCCATTTTTTTGAATTTTTTTTTTGTTTTGAGAATTTATGCATGAAAAATGGCCCTACGTAAAAAAATTTCAACAAAGAATTAGTTTTTAAGATAGATTGTTTTTGCGTCAAGATTATTGAAATCTTTCAAACCTTTTTACGCTCAAATCAGAATTCGATTGAGGGTCTGGTAAAACTACGATAATTTGGATGATAATTTCGATAATAAAAAGAATAATCATGTTAATTTGCTCAAAGTAGACTCAAATGAAAATTAAACTTCAACTAAATAAATGTGAGCTAAAAACACTAAATTTAATCAATCAAAAGTAATTATTATCCAAAACTTTCTCACTTTTAGTGTGAGACCTACATTTTGACTTCATATAGTTTGAGATAATTCCCACGTTGACCAAAGCTAACTTCACTATTGTTTTCTCCTCATTTTTTTG